GAATTATATACTGCTGATACTGGTACTTTAAAAAAAGCCAAAGCCCAAAGAGAAACTTTGACAAAGACTATTGCCAGAGACCACATTAAAAGATTACAAAAACTCTGGCAACTTGGAAGCAAAATAGAAAAAAAAAGAAAAGAAATGACTTCAAGACATTTGCAGAGAACTTTATATAAGCAATTCATTTTTATTTGTATGTGTGAGAGACAGTTTTGTATGTTTTTTTTTTTTTTCACTGTGTATGTGTCACTAACTTATAATATGGAGCATCACACTTCCAAAGATGTGCTGCTGAAGTATGAAGGGCACATTTTCTCAAAGTGTACAAAGATGATTTGTGTGGTTAAAGTCATGGTTTCGGATTTGAGAGGATTTTCTTTGTTGACACAGGCACAGACTAATGCCATGTATTTTTGAAACCGTTAGCTTTTCTGGGCACAGCTGAAGCTGAGGCTTGACTGTCCCTGTGTAGGTTTAGATGTATCTTGGTAAATGGCTGGACTGCAAACTGTGACAGTGGACTTAGACAGGCTGGGACAACAGCCAAAACCAACAGAGACCAGAACTCAGACAGGCCAAGAATAGCTCCCTGTGTGTGACTGTTAGTATGTGCCTTTCTTGTTCGTACTTACATATAAAAATAAACTATAATAAATATTGTTATTTATCTCTCCTACATGGATAAAATAGTTACAGTATGTTATGTACAATGAACAAGCTGTATATGTACTGTATTTGGATGAGACTTGAAAATCCACTTAGCATGCACCAAAATTTAAACATAAACTAACTTTTCTTCCAAGCCATGCAGAAAACACTCATTTTCAAGTTCATATAATGAATATTCATGCCACTCAATTCTGTCTCATATAATCATGCAGATGAATAATGGAGACTGAGGAATGGTGTTCAAAAGAGTGATTTACCATCAGAGTATATCCTATGCTTTATTACATCTTATGCCGTGGCATAAGAATGAACACTACACCAAGAATGGTAATAAATGATTATRTATGCAACTAATTAATCTGATGAATATTTATAACCACTTAAACACATTGTAATGGACTGATTAAGCAGTCCAACGCTGTGAGTTTGAATTAGTGCAGTTTTTGAATAATGACAGACTAACTTTCCATCTCAGTGCTAATGTTCTCCTCTTTAAATGGGGAGCCTTTTTCTCACATTTTCCCCAGCCAGCTACCCCCCACCCCCACCCCTCCCTTCGCTAATTCAAAGCAGTGAAGCTACATTAGAATGGAACATGGCAATTATCACCTTTTATCTTGGGTGGGCGCGCTTGCTCGCTCTTACCTTCCCTCTGTTGCTGGGGAATGATGGTTGGTTGCTGGGGGAACGCTTGGCTGATTGGCGCATAGGCGGCGGGGTAGGCTGCTGTTGCAAAGGGAGAACCAGTGTGGAATTTTTCACATCTCCATTTTCATATTTGACACAACAAAACTCAAATCATTATTCCATTGTTCATTTGCGTCCTCTAGACATTGCATAAATAAATTGCATTATGACTGGGAACCAGGGCTCATTTGGCTGGTGGATCACTACACAAAGAGAATGGTGGGGGTGGGGGGGATTGAGTTCAGCTAAGCAGACATAAAAAGAAAGAAAGGGAGATTCACACCATGTTAATGAGAGCTGATGTCAGACACAAAGCAATGGTCTGTGTCATCGCTCATGTGGAAGGCTATGACATATTAAAATCTTTAACTCCTGGTGTACTTTTAGAATCAAAGTTTTTATGTGTGTGTGCATGTGTGTGTGTGTGTGTGTGTGTGTGTGTGTGTGCGTGTGTGCATGCGTGCGTGCGTGCGTGCGTGCGTGCGTGTGTGTGTGTGTGTGTGTATGTGTGTGTGTGTGACTGCAAATTCAAGTCAACCAAAAACTTTTTTGCAATTCCAATGTACAGCAGACTAATCAAGGAGGAAATTGGTTGGTCATCTGGCCATCTCTACCTGTCATAATTCTTACTGATGTGACAAACCAAAATAGGGGAGATGGAAGAAGCAAAGGGACAGATGGAGAAAGTGAGGGAGAGCAGAGGAGGTGGGAGAGACGGATCACCTGCGTAGTGCTGGACGCCAGCATAAGCCTGTTGGAGAGGGTCGGTCACCGTTGGACTCTGTGCTGCAGAGAGATGAAAAGAGAGACAGAGAAAGAAGGGTGACGTCAAAGTAGATGGAAGCAGAAGAGATTTTAAAAAATGGGAGGACAGTGGCCAAGGCAGACATAGACACAGATGTCGAGCTCACGTTCGACAGCATGACAGACATTGGTATAATTGTGGTAATCCATCAGGAGGAAAGATCACACAGGGAGTGGGAGACATTTGGGTTGTCATATCTTTGAGTTCTTCAAAATGCCTGTTCGTCCCAGATGTTTGCATCAAATATTAAAATTGTGCCAAACAAACCACTTTGTAGTTCATTATGATTGCAGCTGTCTTTGTATAATGCAGAGCTAGGGAGTGAGTGTATGTCAGTTCTTCAGGAATCAGTCCCAGACAACATTAAGAAGCTGAGGACAGCCTGAGACACATCAGATTAGCCATAATTGACTGATGGATGAACTGATGGATTCATCATGATACTCAGGCAGGCTTCTCAAAAGTCTGCCAAAGACACAACTGACTCAGCCTGAAGCTCAAAACACTTTTGCTCAAATGAAACAAAAAATGTCATCAAAGTGGTAAATTAAAAGGGCTCTTGTCAACTCTTAAACCTTTTTGAATTATATCATTTAATTTGTCACTACCAACACGCGTCTCTTGGTTTGTGGCAATTAGGTGATGTTTTTATTCAGATCAAGTTCCGCATTCAAACATTCATAGGTTGTCAGTGCAAGCAGCCAGCATTGCCAGTGCCAAAGCAACAGATTGACACTGGGTGTTGCGAAAACATTTCCTGTTCATTTTATGTAAATGTGGAATGTCTCACCTGGGTAAGGATGAATTCCATTGGTGTAGATGGGCTCAGATGTGGGCTGGCCATTGGTTTGAGGTGGGAGGGCACTGAATCCATTGACCCCAATAGGGGTGGCTATGCTGGGCACGGCTGTGGCAGAAATGCCTGGAGGTGTGCTGGTGCCTGCAAATAGATGCTGAGTTTTTATGGAAAGTGCAAGTTACAGGCTCCACATGCTACAAACTCAAACTTATTTGCATCTTTCTGCAGCTGTATAAGAAATTGCACTTCCTTGTGTAAGATTGCTGCAATCATTTATGCATAGATTTGTGAGCGTATCCATGTTATTTTTATCTTTCTCAAGGGAACCGAGTATATTGCATTATGTCATATGACAATGGATTTCATTGTGTTATATAGTATGGTTATATATTGTTTTGCATTGCATTGCGTCCTACTACTCTATAGCATACAGCAAATCTGTAGAAATGTGTAAATTATGACTCCCAAAGTGTGTACACTCTATTTTGACTAGAAATCTATTTAGTCTGGTCTAGTTGAACAGTTTGGAAGAGAGTCCAATATGGTAACATCCATACTGAAAGTAGAGCAAGTGAAAAATCACTGACCTACTTCTATAATTTGTAGTATTGAACTGCACCAGAACACCTAAAACATGTCTTGMTTTTGTTCCAGTCTAAGCCACATCATTGCAGTCATATCTCCATGAATCCATATATACATAGATAATGTTCAGCCTTTATTATCAGAACAATTTTCTGACTTTTTATTTTTATAGGTATTTTTTTCCTATTTGTGATACATGCATGTAACAATGTACCATAATGTGTATTACACTGAATGTGTTTTTTTTTCTTTTCCTCTTCTTAGTATCTTGTGGTATATTCTAAGTCTGTCACCTTGCCAGTGGCCTTTTGTGCTGATGGATTTTATTATTTTTCTTATCCAGGTGAAGGGCATTTAAGTCATGTAGGATTATGTTTGATAGGTATTAGCAAGAATATGTAGGCCTTGTGGATTACAAATGCCAGGTACAGCGTCAAGCCACTTTATATAATACATTTGCGATGGCCTTGCCTTCAGGCAGCCTGCCTACTTAGTGTCAAGCCATCAAAGCTCCTCATGACAAGGGCCAAAAAGATAGTTCAGACTGGGGTCTAGGATTATCTCACACAAATCTTTGCTATTATATTGTATAAGCCAAGGACTTTGCATCCAAAGTTATTGGATTGGCTGTGTTCCCAGAAAACTCACACCGTCAGTCACAGAGAAAGAAAGTGACAGACAGAGGAGGAATGAAAAGAGGTAATGTGTGAGAAACAGATAGAAACTATAAGGTAGCTACCAATGAGCGTACATGTTTGCCTTACATATTTTCTTACGGAGCCTCTCTTAGTACAAAGTTCTGCTTCCTTTTATTCAGCACTGGCAGTGCCTGCTTTTACACAGAACAAATGGAGCCTGCATCTTAAAAAAGAATTATGGGMGCAACAGCAAAAAGTCTTGAATGAATGTATTTTTACAGCTTCTGTGATTTTGCCTAATAATAAATGTTCCCAGCAGCTGCCAGAAAKAGTAAAACACCCCATGCATTTGGTATCAGCTGTAGCTCAAGCTTGTAGCCGTGTGAGTACATACCTGAGGACGGTGTCATAGGAGTCGCCACCAGACCATTGACATTGAAAGCTGCCATTTGCTGCATTTGTGCGGCAGCAATGGCTGCCATRGGGTTCAGGTAGGACCCTTGTGTTGCTGCCATCAGGGCTGCTTGCTGTTGCATCATCTGCTGTAGGATTAAAKAGCAGTAGGGAAAAAGATGGGCGGCAGGAGGGATGAAAAAAAAAGACAGAAAAATAAAATACGGGTGAAATAGCCGCAGGATCCGTGCATGCTTACTCTCACATCTCTTTGCTTAGCCTATGTTTTACTTTTGAACAGTATGGTCTGTATTGCCCTGAAGCTGTGCAGCTACTACAAGACTCATCTCGCATGGTGCTCATTATAGCGATACGAGATAAAGGCAACACAGTGAGATAAGTGAAGTCTGTGTGTACATATATGAGCTGTATATGTATATATGAGAGGAAAAAAGGGAGACTGCAGTGGCAGAGTTTATGTGCAAGTAGGCAATTCTCACCTGTCAGGGTGAGTTGTTAGCTGTTGTGTGAGTGTAAAATCTCACCAACTCCTAACTCAGGCTGTGACTTTCATGTGCGAATACAAAACAGAGGAAGGGTGGGCTGACAGAAAAGGGCATAAAGGGTGAACGGGTGTGTGCTTGGTAATACTGTACATCTATTTTGTGTTTTTAAAAAAAGTCATACACAAATATTATAGAAAAGCAACAGGCCTGGGTTAAAAGTTTAAATTTGGTACCGGTCAGTAAATGTTGAAATAAACAGTATAAAGGAAATTCTATATGAAGTATCACTAATACACAAAAGGCAGCTCCCCTATGAAAGTGGGGGGAAAAGGCTTCTAATGATTAACAATAAATCAATAAGGCACAGATTTGTTATTATTAATGTTAACATATCAACATTATTAAAGAGCTATTTTTGTTAAGCTGTATTGAAAGTCATTTTTTTGGGGAGGTGCTGCATGCCCAATAGCAGACAGAGCAAGTTCAAACCTTAAATCACAACAGGTTTTCTTTTTCTTTAAAGCTCACCGTCTCCTCTCCCGCCGGGCTGAGACTTACAGCGTGAGAGTAGGCGCCATAGGCCCCAAACTGGATGGTCATGGGACTGAAGATGCCGAGCTGGCCTGCCATCTGGTGCATTCTGCGCAGAGTGCGTTCCTTATCGGTGTCTGCAAATTTGACCACCAGGCTGGATGAGGCACCCTACAGGGACACATATAGTTTACAAGGTTAGGGAAATCTGGAACTTGCATGCATATGTAAAACACATGTTCAGTTCAGTTCTGTTTTAAAATATGACTAGATTTACAAGTTGGTCTTTAGACTAGAAATTTTAAAGAAACAGATTCATTTTTTCTGTTTTTGTTTTGAGTAACAGAAAAGTGAAGAAGTGTCTGCAGAATGAAAGCACAACAGCTTCTGCAACGAATGCACATTATCCAAATTATACCCACTGCTTCAGTTATTTAACTCCATCCGTCCGTCCGTTTTATTCTGCTTATCCGGGGTTGGGTTGTGGGCCAACAACCTAAGCAGAGAGACCCAGACTTCCCTCTCCCCAGCCAAATGGCCCATCTCATTCGGGGGAATCCTATGGCATTCCCTGGCCAGCCGAGAAACATAGTTCCTCCAGCGTGTCCTGGGTCTTCCTCTGGGCCTCCTCCCATTGGGACATGCTCGGAACACCTCACCCGGGAGGCGTCCAGGAGGCATCCTGACCAGATGCCTGAGCCACCTTAACTGGCTCCTCTCGACGTGGAGGAKCAGCAGCTCTACTCYGAGTCCCTCCTGGATGACTGAGCTTCTCACACTATCTCTAAGGGAGAGCCCAGACACCCTGCGGAGGAAATTCATTTTGGCCGCTTGTGTCCACGATCTCGTTCTTTCGGTCACTACCCAAAGCTCGTGACCAAAGATGAGGGTTGAACAGACCGACCAGTAAACCAAGAGCTTTGCCTTCTGGTTCAGCTCCCGCTTCATCACGACAGACCGGCACAGCGCCCGCATAACTGCAGATGCAGCACCAATCTGCCTGTCGATCTCCCGCTCCATTCTTCCCTCATTTGTGAACAAAACCCCCAGATACTTAAACTCCTCCACTTGGGGCAGGACCTCCTCCCCGACCCATAGAAGGCACCCTACCAGTTTCCAGCTCAAGACCATGTTCTCGGATTTGGAGGCACTGATCCTCATCCTGGTCGCTTCACACTCTGCTGTGAACTGCTCCAGTGAGAGCTGGAGATCACGATCTGATGAAGCCAATAGGACCACATCATCCACAAAAAGCAGAGATGTGATCCTAAGGTCACCAAAAAGGATCCCTTCAACACCTTGGCTGTGCCTAGAAATTCTGACCATAAAAGTTATGAACAGAATCTGTGACAAAGGGCAACCTTGGCGGAGTCCATCTCTCACCGGAAACAAGTCTGACTTACTACCGGCAATGCGGACCAAGCTCTGGCACCGGTCATACAGGGACCTAACAGACTGTATTAATGGGCCTGGTACCCCAGACTCCCGGTTATTTAAGTTGTTATTACAGTTATTTGACTAAATGGTAAAATTTCTTGCCCTAGATAATTTGTATAAAACTAGCAACACTACAAACTATTTCAAATATTTTCTAAATGAAGCTGTTTACTGGGTCTACAACCTGGCTCAAMTGGATGCCGTTCTTTTTTTGTTATTTCTTTCTCAGTTCAAATGATCTTTTGCTTTTGGTGGTCTTGCTATCCAGGCTGGTCCTCAGAGGTGACTGAGCCTTTTCAGTTGTGGCTACTAAACTGTGGAACCAGGTGCCCCTTCATATCAGACAGGCTTCAACTCTTTGTGTTTTTAAATGTAATCTTAACACATTTGTTTTCAAATGCCTTTAATCCAGCATGAGAGCTGACTTTCCCACTCTTCCACTACAGTTTTGTTTTATAGTTTACCATATTTTTTTATTGTTCTTGACCTCGCATTCTGTTTTGTCTTTGTATTAGTTGTAAATGTAAACAAAGATGACTTGACTTGACTTGACTTACTTGACTTGAAAATTGCACAAGTCATGTCTACCAAACAGGCTCAACAGTACGAACWAATGTCCATTTTTTTAACCAGCTGCATTTTATGTTTGCTTATGCTATTTAAATATATTTTCTCCACCTAGTACAATTTCAGTACAGTAAACACTTCTAATCTGACCATATTCTAAATATAGAACAAATAAAAACAAATGTATGCATTGCAACTTCATGTTTTATTGTGTGGTTAAAAATAGCTTCCTCACAACTTTGCAATTTGCACATATCTCGTGGGAAATGACCTACAACCTACAACAAAATAATGGTTGCATAATTACATAATCTGTTTATAGCACAACAACTTGTGTGTTTTGGTAGATGACAGTCCCCATCACTCCAGCCCTGAACGAGGCTAGGCAGGAATGAAAAATGAATCAATAAATAAATGAGTGTAAACTTTCTGCGTCACTTCAAACGAGAAGCAGTGATGATCGGTTGTTTCATTTCAGCCATTAGATGACCTGTATACTTTAGAGCTCAGCTTTGGGACCTTATATTTCTAAACTGAAGCAGGCAATAGAATTAAGTATGCACCTCTCATGGCTGCAGTCATTTAGCTGTCAGCAGTAAATGGACAAGAATTGTGAGCGTTCTTTGTTTTTGTGAACTTTCCAGCTCCACTGTATACATTGGGAGTGAACTGTGATCCTAACCAGATCCCACAGGAGTGCCAGTCCCCCCAATGGTAAAGCTCCACTGAATATAACACTGGGTAATTAGGTCTGACAAAAGCCTTCGGCATGTGGAGGGCAAAGTATTGACTAATGGCTCCTCCTTATGGCAGATATACTGTAGTTCCGTATTGATGTCCGTGCTCCGAGTTTGCATCCAATTAAATCATTTGAAAGACAGAGACCAGAATCAGTTCCTCATGTGACATCCAGACAAAGAGACAGAGAGAGGGAGATTGTCTGTGTGAGTGAAAGACAGAAGCAGAAAGAACAAGCGAGGATGAGGAGGCTGCCAGGCACAGAAAGCAGACACAGACACTGTCAAGAGGACAAGGCTTCTATTTAATTAAAGGCAGTGCATGCTGGGAAAAAGCATGGAGTACCACTAGGACAGAAGGACAGAAACAACCAGGGGGCAGTCAGGATATGATTAGTAAGATCATAAAGGCGAAAGACACAGAGAGAAAGACTCCATAATCACAACTTGGATTCACAAAATGCTTCATCCTGACAGGGTCAGTGCAAATTCTGGCTTTGATTGAAATTTCCATATTTTCTTGATGTGTAGAAATTAAAAATGTCAGAGAACTGCAGGGGACTCATGGACAGAAAGAAGCTGACTGAAGTGATTGATGATGCATACACCTATTTTCTTGTGCAGCATATTCTTAAAAAAAGTTGTAAGGAAGTTGAAACTGCTGTTTATTCAGTGAAGCTATTGAAAATAAAATTCACCAAAAAATAACAATTTGTCTTTGTTTTCTTTCCTCCATTGAGAATACTAAAACTAAACTTATAGCTGCTATGATAACCATGTTTAACAAATCAATTATTATTTTCATGAAATTTTCTAAAGTGTCACTTTTCCTGCTTTCTGAATCTGATATTGCATGTGTGAAATTGACAATTCCGCACAAGACAAACGTATTGGTAAGAGTGTTTTTTTTTTTCCAGTAACCCATGATTGTGTGTTTCAAAAACAGCCTATTAACAAAAATGAGGAAATGTTTTGGCTTTAGGTAACTACGAACAAACATATGTAGAGATAGAAAGCAGCAGCATAGACCCCAGGGTTGGTGTGTCTCAGATGGGAACCTATCAGAGCCAGCCAGAACCCCACCTCAGGCCAGAGGAGACCCATCTGCTGCTTCTYCTTTAGTGCCATTTTAATTAGTTAAATCAATACTTGGATATGGCAGTGTTAACAGCACCATTTTTCCCATTTTAATTTCATTTCCTTACACCTCCTGACCTTTTTTTYCCCCCTATATTTTCCAAACTTTTTGCTGCAGCTGAAGGGACTGGACTGTTGGATTTAATTAGGTTGGCACTGAGCAAACATGTTCTTCCAGAGTTGTTGCTAAACGCTGCCCACAGCACAAAGGCCTGGCATTTAAAATCCCTCTTTTTTTCTGATTTGTGTTTTTGTGTAGCTTCAAATTATTTTATTGTCTCATGAAGAATTCATTATGAGTATTGTTACTGCAAAAGCATAACTGTTGTGATTGCATCATGACTCAAGTTGATTTGAAGACAAGAAAATACTTGCACCCAAATGTCTGCAATGGATGGTTTTGGGGAAAAAAAGTTAAACTAGTGTCAGCTCTGCAGGTATTGTCAGTTCTGTCACTCATGGTACATCACTTTGAATAGCAGTTGTCTATTGTTGTGAAGATCCCTTCAGACCAGACTGAAGGTCTAATGAGGCCAAAAAGATTTATCTAACAGATCAAAAGTCTAAATCCACATTTAAAAATATGAGTATGTGGCCGAGTAATGAAGAAATAGGTGGAGGCAAACAATGAGTTCTGGATGCAAAGCAGTTACTCCTCCCTGGCTGCAGAAAATCACAAGCTGACAAACAAACAAAATAATAACCTTGCCCAGCATGACTCCTATACCTGGAGAGAAAATGAATTCTCCAAATTTGATAAGGGCCAACAGGGAGCCATCACTTTTGACAGGTTCAAATAAGGAATTTGTCACAGGTTCAAAAACTAATCTAATTTTTCAAACAACACACTTGACTTGTGAAAATCTCCCTTATTGGATTTTGTAAAGGGCTCAAAATGTGCAGATGGAAAAACGCACAATGGTAATTGAGGGATTAGAACTCAACTCCAGCAATGAAATGGCATAATGCTTTTATCTCTGCCTTATTGCAACAAAAAGACACTCTTGTGGAGTATCCGCCAAAAGGTAAACAGACCCAAATGTTCTGTCCTTCACATGACTCACAAGAATACATGGTCGATAAATGGAAAGCTATAATTCATGAGAGAGAGAGAGAAAAGAAGTGAATTAAATCCTACAAAACATAAGCTTCACTCATTTATCATATAACAACTCCATTTCAACAGTTGTCTCTGCTTATTTTACTGATCTCAGAAAATGTAGTTATAAACTGAGGATGCATAAAAAGAATGAATAAATAAATTTAAAAAAATAAAACACCAGAAAATGTTTA